GAAACCAAAGGCCAACCATAGCTGACCAACAGCACAAAATAGTACCAAGAGCTGGAACCAAGGCAGAGAGTACAATAAACCTGCACAAAATTTAAATAAGGGCCAAGCATCAACTGAATCCAAAGGCCAACCATAGCTGACCAACCAAAGGACAAGCAAGAGCTGCAAGATGCCAATACAACCAAATCCCAAGCAACAAGAGGCTGCAACCAAGGAAAGCACAAAATCAAGAGCTGCAAGAGGCCAATACAAGCATCAACTGAATCCGAAGGCCATCATCATAGCTGACCAACCAAAGGAAAGCAAGAGCTGCAAGAGGCCAACACAACCAAATGCCAAGCAACAAGATGCTGCAACCAAGGAAAGCAACAAGAGGCTGCACAAAAAAACACAACTGAAACAAAGGCTAAGCTGTGCCAAAGACCAACCACAGGCCAACACAACCAAAGACCAAAGGCCAACACAACCAAATGCCAAGAAACAAGAGGCTGCAACCAAGGAAAGCAACAAGAGGCTGCACAAAAAAAAAACACAACTGAAACAAAGGCCAAGCTGTGCCAAAGACCAACCACAGGCCAACACAACCAAATCCAAAGACCAAGCATGGAAACAGCAAACCAAACAACCAATATGGAACATTCGAACCAACAAAACCAAGAGCTGAAACCAAGGCCAAGTGGAACACAAATTCAGACTCATCAAAAGCCAACACAACAATTTAGCTCCAAAGACCAAGCAACTGAAACCAAAGGCCTGCTTCTAACATAAATTCAGACTCACAACATGAATCATCAACATGGAAACAACAAACCAAACAACCAACATGGAAACAGCAAACCAACACAACCAAGAGGTGAAACCAAGACCGAGAGGAGGTTGAAACCATGCTGACCAAGGGCCAAGCAACATGAGGCCAAGCTGAAACCATTGCAACATGTCAGGTACACAATGGAAACCATAAAAAAGCACAAATGAAAACAGCACACACCAAATCCAGGCTGACCCAAGGCCAACCAACGGCCAACACAATAATTTAGGGTCCAAGGGCCAAGCAACAAGAGGATGCAACCAAGGAAAGCACACACCGTGACATGAATCTGAAACATGGAAACAGCTAACCAAACAACCAATATGGAACCTTCGAACTGATGCGGCATAAACATATACCAAAAAGGTTGCAAGTGCACAACCGTGTCAAGTTATAGTATAAAGATATCGATCCCACGAGGAAGGTGTTTTTGTAGGAGAAAATATAAAATCGGTTCTTATGTTGTGTGCGTGACAAATAGGAGTGATGAGTGAATGTGATTGTGGAGAGATAATGAGAGTGATAGTGTGTAGATCAATGTGTTTGAGAATAAATGTGATCAATAAGGCAAGAAAGAAGAATGAATAAAATTGAGAAACAAATCAAAAATAAAATTCAAGAATAAAAGAAAATGTAAGAAATTAAAGACGGTGGATTCAATTATAGATATGGGTAATCTAAAATTGAACCCACTTCTTAAAAAAGGGTGATTCCCTAGAGGGTTCTAGCCTAAAGGCGAATCAAACAAAATAAAAATAAACAAAAAGAAAAACTAAACCCAAGAGGGTTCTAGCCTCAAGGTGAATAGTGCAAGAAATTAAAATCAACTACAAAATAAATTACAAAATCTAAACTACAGAATAAATTGCAAGAATTAAATGCAAGAAAATAAATCTACTCTATAAACATGAAATAAATCTAAGGCAAGAGGGTTCTAGCCTCTTGGCTATTTAACAAGAAAACAAAATCTAACTATAAGCATAGAAATAAATCTAAACTAATAAGCAATAAAAAAGAAATAAAAGAGAAAAAGAAAAGAAAGACAAACCTCTAAACAATTCTTCATCTCCATCTTCATCATCCAACAAAGAGAATAAATATTTAAAGTGGTGAGAAAAATTATTATTATTAATTGTAATAAAAAGTTACAAATTTGGAAGGTCTTCTCAATTAAGAGTAGCCCTCCTCTCCAAAAGGAGTTACAAAAATTTTCATACCTCTAACCCCTCACTCTTAACCCCTATTTATAGTAAACATCAGTGAATGAGAGCTCTTGGATCAAACTTGAGCCCCAAGAATGCAATTTCGGCCGTAGATGAAATCTGGATGACTTCGCATCGATACAGGCATCGATGCCTGCATCGATGCTCTAATAAGAATTCTGATTTCACGGTTAGCTTCGTCTCGTCAAGATAGGCGATTTTCATATATTATATGTTAAATTCCGCCACCCGGATTGAGAGATATCGTCGTTTCTTTACGGCCAACTATCTTGAATACATTTTTTTTTCATATTTAATTTTTTTATTTTCTCCGGCTTCTACAGGCTACTCGGCTTGATTCTGGGCTTGGGATTTTTGTCTCTTGCTTGTGTTCTTCATTTAATTCATGGGTTTTTGTCGAGAGATGGGATTTTGAGCTTTATTCTTCATTAACCCGCAATTAAAGATAAAAATAATTATTAGTGGTATATTTATTTATATAAAATAGATAATGATGGTATAAAATTATAATAAAATGTGATTATTACGAACCAACACAACCAAGAGCTGAAACCAAGGCCAAGTGGAACACAAATTCAGACCCACCAAAAGCCAATACAACAATATGTCAGGTACACAATGGAAACCCCCAAAAAACACCACTGAAACAAAGGCCAAGCTGTGCCAAAGGCCAACCAAAGGCCAACACAACCAAAGACCAAAGGCCAACACAACCATGCTGACCAAGGGCCAAGAAACATGAGGCCAAACAAACACCATTGCAACATGTTCCTCACAATGGAAAACCACAAAAACTGAGCTCAAAAGGGCCAAACAAGCCCAAGATGGAAATCAAACCAAAGCTCAAAAGAAATTATAGAAAATATGCTCAGAAAAGGCTCTTTTCTTTATTATATGCCACGCTATAAAGTTTATAATAACAATGTTGGCTGCATTTACTGCCTCGCCAATTGATCACTAGTATAAACTTTAGCTACATATCTTCAACATTGAAGCCCATCATCATAACACAAAATATGCATACCTCTTTAACTTTAATTCATCGAGGGAAATCATTATATAACCCCACTTGTAAACCTGTCAAACACGTAAAGCATTAGCATACCAAGTTTATAATATAACATATAAAGCCACAACTGAGATGCATGAAGATAGAGATAGTAGCATAAGTTTTGCACAAACATAAGTTTAATACATGTACCATAGTTGTTAGGCAAAATGATGAGCTTTCATCTAGCTCATTTACATCCAAAAATAATTACACTCATTTACATACAAAAATAATTATACATCCAAAAATAATTAGCTTGTTTCACAAAAATATTCCAAAAACATCGCAATCCAACCTTCCACCATTCTAATCAAGAGGTTGACTCTTCATGAACTCAGTCAACGCCTTCTTTTGCATAATAGTTGGCCTCCCCATAAACAACCTAGCTTGTGATTCATTCTCATGCAATTGTTGATAAAACTTATCAAGAATTTCTATGTCAAATTCATCATCATGTGCAAATATAGCTTTTGCCAACTTCTCGGTCCAATGCATAGTCACCATGCGCATAGATGAGGTGAATTGTTTTACCTCATTTACTATCTCATGCATAAGCATCGTTTCCTCACTAAACCTAGCTTCCTTTCCTTTTCGCATCTTTGACATGTCATTTTTAGCTTTGTTCACACTAGAAGATGGATTGATTTTGAGGGCATAGTTGGAACCTTCGGTGGTGGAACATCATCTTCATCTATAGATACATAGCTAGGCGTGTTCTCCTTTGGCACACTAATATCATCATCATCATCACCAATATTAAAATGTGCACTACCACCAAATTGTGACAATACATCTACCGCATAATCTCCTTTAGCAACATCGTCTCCAATAATAGTTGCGAGGTCTTCATAATGTTTCATAGGCTTGTTGATGTATTCCCTAAGTTTAGAACTATTCATTCTCTTATCCTACATAGTTTAAGGCATATATCAAATACATATATGGACAACATTGAACAAAATTAGAAAATTGTAAATACCTTAAGCCATCTATCCAAGCAAGCTTCATCCATAATCACCATCTTCTTTGCATCATCCCAACCGGCACCGCTCAAGTTACGACATTTTTGCATGTCCAAATATCTATTGTGAATAGTTCTCATACGATTTTCCACATTCTCGTAAGTGAACGTTGAACCTAATTGTTCATTTATATGAAAGGCGGCGCTATGATAAGCGGTTTTTTTGAACTTCTTATCCGCTTTCAATCCATCCCTAACACATTTTGCGAGGAAAGGAATTAACAAATCATCATATTTACTCTCCCATAATATGTTAACTCTCCTCTTGCATGCCTCTTTCTTTTTGGATTTATGAGCAATAGCCTTTCTTTTTCCTCTTTGGATTAGGGGATGAACTTTCATCACCATCAATATTATTAGCACTCCTCTTGTTGCTTTGACATTGTTGATTAGGTGACGGAGTTTCACCCATGCTATAACTTTGACGTTGTAAACTTGGAGGAGCATTTAGCATGTTCATGAATGAGATTGATGGTTGTTGGCCAATTCCCCAAAAGTTAGCATCTTGCATTTGAAAATTATTCCAAAAATTAGGACCTTGGCCAACTTGTGAAGAGTGATAAGGCATAAAGCCCGGGTTAAACCCACAAGGGATTGATGAATTCCTTAGGGTTCGAGGCGATGAATTGGATGTCGTACTCTTGCCTTTGACCTTATCAAGTTCCTCACAATTGAAGTTGTCGGCCATACCTAGAAAATAGTTATAGAGAAATACGAAAAAATATACGTAAGTTGAGTAAATAAAGTGTGTCCTAAGAGAATTACATACAACACATAATAGAAGCATACAAATGTTTCGCCAATTAACATTCTATAGTTTTACACACGCTAACATAATATGAAGTACATGAAAATAGAATAATTCAAAACATGAGACAACATCACTATCATATTGCATCACATGCCTATTTCATTAGTATTCCCTCCCTTATACTTATCACAATAATCAACCCACATTTCCCAAGCTATTTGATCTCTACGATTCTTCCATACATTTCTTGATTCTGTTTGCTCCCTTTGAGTTTGGGGTTGAGAGAAATCAACAATATTATTATCATCTTCATTAGCAACATCACCTTCATCATCTTCGATCTCAATGGTCTCATTGAATATGTCATCATCCGGATCAACCATTGCAATATAATTGTGAAGAACTGCACAAGCTAATACAATATCCACTTGTGCGCGAAAAGGGTAATGAGGTTTCGCGGTGAGAATTTTGAAACGATTCTTCAAGCAACCAAATGAAGATTCAATCTTAGACCTTAAAGAAGAATATCTAAGATTGAATAATTCCCTTCTATTTTTAGGTGTTCTTCCTATTTGTTCCTTCAAATGGTAATGAACACCATGATATGGGAAGATAAAACCCAGCATGGTCGTGTATTCCGCATCACACAAGTAATACTTTCCTACAAATGCATGATGTGAAGGCGTTTAGTAGAATTTTTTATCAATTCATCGAATAAACCAATATTAATTAAAGTAATTACTTAAAAATTAAGATTTGCTGAAATTACCATCGTATATTTTCAAACCATGAGGTTGTGGCCTAGACAATGCATCTTGGAGGACTCTAAAGTCATTTGCAGAACCTTCCCATCCAGCTAATACGTAAGTGAATAACTTGTTTGGAGTACAAGCCGCTAAAACATTTTGTGTAACACCTTTTCGACCACGAAATCGTGGTTGAAGACTAGCAGGTAGCGTAGCATCAACATGTGTACCATCTATCATACCAATACAATCCTAGAGAACAAAAAATTACAATTGAATCTTTTTTTTAAATTAAATGAACATGCTTTTAATCACAAATTAAAGAGAGAATACCTTAAAATAAGGATAGTATAGAGGGTTGCTAAGGATCTCCTGTGGAACTTCATTCCGTGTTTGTCCTAAAAAGCGTGGTCGTATGTGACAAATAGCTTCTAACACTTTGTTGAAATACCTACTCACAGTCTTGCCAGATCTAATAAAATGTGACCTAATACTTCAATTTTTAGTTTTATGCCCCAAAATATTCAAAGTCATAGCAAGTTGCTCCTCCACTGTAACATGTCTTGAGTCTCGCAATAAATCGTTGCTCCTCAATATCTCTGCAAGCTTCATAAAAGCACCACTTCGCATTCTAACATAGTTGACACAACTATCACTAAATCCATTATATATGCAATCCAGGTGTTGTTTTCTATTTTGATATTGTATTATTTTCTCTTCACTAGGACCTGCACGTATAGATCTACGTCTACTTTGCATTCTCCTCATGAATGCCATAACCATAACCAAGACAGATAGTACAACACCCGAACACATATTAACTACGGTTTCTTCATCGAGATCACCATCCATCTAAAATACAAACGTCATATTAAAGCAGATAGTAACAGTAAACGAAGATGGTTGTCTAATTATATTGCTAAGGTCCTATTTACAAAATGAAAAGACAAAGCTATTAGACTTGGGTTTAAAAATATATTTGGAAACTAATGCAGACAAAATCAGGTCACATTGTTCAATATGATGACTTCAAGCCTGGTCCATGACCCACAATTAAAAATACATATTTTCTCTTCTTATCCCTAGGCCAATAAGAATGGTAACTACAATATGTGTACATGTAGAGAAGCATGCCTTTAATAAGTCACTCAAATGAGCTATCGGAGATTTTACACACTTAAAGCTTATTGTTTGTCATCACATTAATGTTTGCCTTCAAATTAATTTTTCAATTTGTTTCTTAGTTCGTATTCAGTTCATCAAAACCCAAAGCCATGCTCAAGGACAAGAAAGTCCATAACTATGAACCTATCAACTAATTGAATGCAGACAAGGAGTTTCTAACCATAAAAATTGATTCATTTCCCATCATTCAAAGAAATAAAATGTTTTTCGACTATACTAATTTCTTTTTACGCAAACACGTGCCCTTCATTCATGATAAATTAGCATGGAAAAATTTATAACGTAGTCATACAGACCACGAAATTGCTACTAATATTCTTAAAATTTATAACACGAGGTTGTTTAAGCATGGTAAATTTTACAAACTATGCCCTTCATTCATGATAATCGATCTTCATCAATTACTAATTTGTTTTTACGCAAAGACCAAAATGAAAATGCCCTTCATTCATGATAATCGATCTTCATCAATTACTAATTTGTTTTTACGCAAAGACCAAAATGAAATTGCTACTAATATTCATTCGATCTTCATCAATTACTAATTTGTTTTTACGCAAAGACCAAAATGAAATTGCTACTAATATTCATGTTGTTAGCATGAACTCAGATCAATAGTTAAGACAAGCAACCAGAGCATATATATTAAGCTGCATAAAATTAATGCCCAAAATCGGAGCTCAAACAGATCAAAGCTCAACCAGACCATGAAAATCCACATGTCAGAGCTCAAAATCGGAGAAAAAACAGTGCTCAAATCGGAGCAAGAGCTGAAGATCTCAAAAATATAAGTCGTTTAGGGTTTTTTTTACCTGAGTAGCGCGCAAGATCTCAAGAACAACGACCTTCTTTCAAATCCCCAAATCAACCGCAAGATCAAGAACAACGACCTTTCAAAATCCCCAAATCAACAGCAAGCTCTCAAGAACAGCGATCTCCTTTCAAATTCCCAAATCAACTGCAAGCTCTCAAGAACAGCGATCTCCTTTCAAATTCCCAAATCAACTGCAAGATCTCAAGAACAGCGATCTCAAGATCGCAAGAGATCAAAACGGAGGAAAATCGAGCTCGCTTGCACAGGAGAATGGCATCAAGAAGTGAGAACGAGAGCTGGAGGAGCAAAAAGCCGTGCGAAGTTGATGTGGAAAATCGGGGTGGAAGCGAGAGTAGGTGGCGGGAGAAAATGGAGGGAAGGAACGGCGCAGTGATCAGAAACCTAGGGTGAAAGGAGAGGGGGAAAAACAAGCTTTGATCACTTTCCACCAAAATCGGCATTTTGGGAACGGAAAGGAACTTTCAGCAAATCACCACTTTCAGCTCCCTTTTCTTTCGCCACTCAAAACGAAACAAACATCCGTAAATGAAAAAAACTGACATAATTTTCGACGTCAGTTTTCAAAATGGGCTTTTCCTTCACTTTCAGCTCAAATTTGAGCGAAACAAACAGGCCCTTAGCGGAGAAGATAGTTGTTTGACTACGTGATAATATCTACCATATCTCAGAATTTTTAATTGGATCCATTTCTACGCTGGCAACTAAGAATACAAGCACAAGGAATTTTATAAGTCTCGAAATACTATAGCAATTACTCAGTTTAACAAAATGAACCGCTACTTTATAGAGGTAATTTTTTTAACAGTGAAAAATATCAATATTATTGGACAAGATAAAAAATACACATAAAATTTTGGCGGTAACAACAAGAGATACGATGGTAGAACAGGAATCACAACAACAACAAGCACTGTATCTGACAACTTTGTAAAATTATAGTAATGATGTGATTAGTGACAACTAATAAGTACCATAATAGTTCATAGTTGTGAAATAACAAACAATGAATAAGGTTGATACCGTTAGGTGTGACCCAAAATACCTATAATTTTTGGCATAAACGAGAAGAGTACTAATGAGCGTAAAACACAAACGTGGTTGATCTGTGATGTAGAACATACAGCAGACACGTTTATGTCAAAGTGTGATATTCGCAAGCCCAAATGCGGGCCTTGTCGAAGAAAATAACTTGTTTCGAAGAAATGACCGTAACTTTCAAACCGTACGTCGGAATTGGACGAATTATATATGAAAATCGACTATCTCGACGAGACGGAGCCATCTAAACCCACACCTTCGGGTTCGGTTTGCGTTCTCAGTTTTGCCAAATTCCTTACGGTTTGAGAGATATTTGTATTTTTGTCCGTTTTTACTATTTTTAGTAATATTTTAGGAGTCTATTTTGTTTAGGAAAAATATCCGATTTGATCTCAGATTTGATCGGAGGACTTTCTTAATCATAAGGAGTCCTTTTAGGAGTTTTAATGTTTTAGGAATTCTTTACCATTTTTGGTAAGTTGAGAGTCCTTGTAGGAATTAGAGTCCTTGTAGGAGTCTTGTTTCTTTTTCTATTTAAGAAGAGTATTATAAGCCCTAGAGGCATAACTTTTCATCAATAAAATTTCTTTTTTTCAATATTTTCTTCGTGGATTCGAAGTTCTTCGTGGATTCGAAGATCGTTCTTTGTGGATTTAGAGAACACCCTTGGTGGATTCCGAGGTTATTGTAGGCGTATAAAACTGCCTATGGGTCCCTTAGCACAGCTCGGCACGGTGATTCGACGAACCAACGAGGCGACGAATAGCACGCAAGCAACAGAATAAATCCATTCACGTTCAGAATCAAACCAAGTGTTGAAGAGTCAACGAGTGATCCAACCAAAGACAAACTCGGACGAATCACGATCGAATCAAGATCAGTTTCAGACTCGAACTCAGAAGCAGATTTACTGCCAAATCAGAAGCGGATTTACTGCCAAATCAGATCAACAAAATCCGAATCTAAGTCAACCGAATCACGGACAGAACCGAGAAAAGGATACAGCGCAAAACGACGGAAAACAGCAAACCCAGAGGGGCTCGGCCAAAACCGAGCCGCCTCAAGGTGGCTCGGCCAAAGCCGAGCCACCCTGAGGTGGCTCGGTGGCCGAGCCACCTTGAGGTGGCCGGCCCAGAGCCGAGCCACCTCAAGGTGGCCGGCTGCACTGTGCCCAAGGCACAGTGAGGGTAGCCTATAAATAGGCCCCCTTTTGTTCATTTTCAAAGGTTGGACTTTTGAGAGCCGAAACTCTGCCGGATTGAAGATCGAGCTTAGAGTTTTGAAGACTTGAAGACTTGGACATCCAGATCTGATCCTCGGCGAGCATCCACGTCACAAAAGGCAGGAGTTCGAGAGAGGGGAAGAACAGATCTGAGATCTACACGAGATCACACTCCGGATCTAAGCTTGGTCTTAGATCCCGAGATCCGAGCGATTATTTCCTTAGTGAACTAATCCCTCCCGGCTATTATTCCCTTCGTGGAATAATACCCGTCAAATCGTGTAGATCCGACCGGATCTAGATCGTGCGGTGGTCCACGGATTAACCCCGGCTTTGGCAAAGAACACACAAAAGCGAGTGACCGCAAAACAGGAGCTCGCGATTTGTTCACAAGGAGAAAGTTGTAATTTTTTTTTATTTTCTTTGATTTCGTTGTAACCGGATCTAAAAAAGACCGGATCTTTTGTAACCACAAAAAGTTGTTATTTTGAGATCACAATGACATCAATGAAGAAAACGATTTTCCCCGCGAACAATCTGGCGACCACAGTGGGAGCCGCCGATCTCGCTGCCGAGATCGGAGCGTCGCAGCCGCGGATCTCAATCCCGGTCGTGGAGGAGGTCGAGTATGAGTTCGACCAAGCCAAGTTTGAGGAGTACGTATCCTCGTCCGGATCTACCTCCCCCCGCAAGTCCAAGTTCTCCTCCAAGAGGAAAACTCGTTGGTATGAAGACGTTGAAAACACCAATGAAGATCTCGCCCCGTTTGATGCCAAAGTCGCATCGGGTGAGATTCCTCCAATTTCCAACCAGGGCAGGCCTGCTCTTGCCAACCCTTCTGCCGCAGGGGGCGTGGTGACTCTCTCGAAGAGAGCCCGCCAAAGGCAACGTCAACGCCTTGCGAAACAGTTCGCAAAGGCCATGGAGTCCGTTGACGGGATCCGCTACAACGCGGATCTG